AAAAAAAAAAAAAAAAAAAAAAAAAAGGATAGTTTCTGGCCAGGCATGATGGCTCACACCTGTGACCCCAACACTTTGGGAGGCCAAAGTCAGAGAATGGCTTGAGGCCAGGAGTTTGAGACCAGCCTGGTCAGCCTGGGCAACACAGCAAGGCTCTGTTTCTAAAAGAAAAAGTTTCTAAGGATAATATATCAAAGGAGAGAGATCTCCCAACAAATATAATGTGGTTCTAGCCTCTGTAGGGTGTCATGGATGTAATATTTTAGAAATGTCAGCAATCGGGTCATGGTATATATTACATATCTGAGACTTCACCATCTCCCTTCCACATACGTGCCCTCAGAGAGTTACTTAATCTTCTAGATCTCGTTTGTGAAATGAGGCCCAAGGAGCTGTAAAAATTCAATAAGATGACGTATAAAAATGCTCCACACGTGACTGCCAAGCATGGCCGGACCACACTTATTGCAAGACTTCAGTGCCAGGCACAGGGCCCTCTTAGCTTGAGCTCTTCCAGGAGTCTCTGAGCAGGAGAGGACACTCAAATTGTGACCTAGGAGGAAGAGTATGGGACTATTCACTATGGGTGGATGCAACATGCTAGCCATTTAAAAATAGTCATGGGCTGCATAATGACATTTCCGTCAACTGACTGTGTATATGACAACGTCCCCTAAGATTATATATAATGGAGCTGAAAAATTCCCATCACCTAGTGACGCTGTACCCATCACAGTGTAGTGCAATGCATTCCTCAGGTGTTTGTGGTGATGCTCGTGTAAACAACCTACTGTGCTGCCAGCCACAGCAAGGTCTAGCACACTCAACTGATGATGCTAACCAAAGACTGTTACTGGTTTATGTCTTTACTGTACTTCTTGTTATTGCATCTCCAATGGGACAAGGTGTGGAGGTGGACGACAGTGACAGTGAAGATCCCAACCCTGTGGAGGCTTAGGCTAGTGTGTGTGTGTGTCTTAGTTAAAAAAAAAAAAAAGCTCGCAGAACAAGTATATTAAAAATACTTTTGTATAGCTGTACAATGTGTTTGTATTTTAAGCTAAGTGTTATTGAAGCAAAAGTATCTTTTAATCTTTTAATAAGTATAGCGTGGCTTAAGCGCACAGTGTTCACAAAGTCTACAGCAGTGCACAGTAACACCCTAGGCCTTCACACTCACTCACCGTCACTCACTCACTGACTCACCCAGAGCCACTTCCAGTCCTACAAGATCCACTCATGGTAAGTGCCCTACACAGGTGCACCATTTTTAATCTTTTATATCATATTTTTAATACCCTCTTTTCATATTTAGATACATAAATACTTAACCATCGTGCTACAACTGCCTACAGTATTCAGAAATATGCTGTGCAGGTTTGTAGCCCAAGAGCAATTTGTACCATATAGCCTAGGTGAGGAGGCTACACCATCTATGTTTGTGTACCCCTACTTTATAATGTTAACACAATGCTGAAATTGTCTGATGACACACTTCTTAGAATGTATTAGCACTGTTAAGCAATGTTGACCGTATTAATTCTGTTCTTGGAGCCTTTTTTTTTTTTTTTTTTTTTTTTTTTTTTTTTTTTTTTTTTTTTTTTTTTTTTTTTTTTTTTTTTTTTTTTTAAAAGAAATGGGGACTTACGATGTTGCCCAGGTAGCCTTTGAACCCCTGGGCACAAGCCATCCTCCCACCTCAGCCTCCCAAGTAACTGGAATTATAGGCGGAGGCTCTCAGATCACTTTGCTGCATACCTTTACTATAATGCTAATTAAAGCCTATTAAATTTGGTATTACTGGTCTGTCCCACTAGACTATTCCTTACTTAGGAATAATCTTATTTTTCAAATCCCTTCATTTTCCTTCTTCCTGCTTCTCCTTATTGCCCCAAGTACTTTATAAAATGTAAGGGCCTAGAAATGTTAGTCATATGCTGGTAAAAAATTGGAATTGCAAATTCAAGTACCCCAAGGAACCAGCCAGTTAACGTAAACAGGCCCAGTGTAAGAACAGCAGCACAAGCCTGATGAAGCTTAATGGCTACTGATCAAAAACCTCAGTGCTGGGAACCGTCAGGGGCGGTGCGGAGTGTGGCCTCATGGAGAGAACACACAGGCCCTTATGAGGGCAGAGGCTCTGACTGACTGCTGCCATGTGAATCCAATGTGTCAGACTTTTCAGGTTTCCAAAGGAAGCCAGAAATCTGGAATTTAATATAAAACCTTTGCATTAAAAAATGCCGATTCACAGAATAAATGTAGGCCGAAAAGGCACATTTGTGGGACTAGGTGCAGCCCACGGACCACCAGTTTTTGATGTCCGGTTTAGTGACACTGACGTGTTAGATGGAGGCTAAAACTGTCTTGAGATCCATAAAGGACTCCTGATGAGGCAGCCTCAGAGAGGTACAAGTGAACCACCAGAAGTCTACGAGGAGGCTAGAGGGCCCAGCTGGTGGGCCAGGGGAGGTCCTATAGGGCAGTCATATTTGAATTAATACAGCAAGTAGGACATTCTCCTGTTGAATGCTTATGATCAATACCAAAAAGGTACTCAAATGCCCAGGCTCCCCTACACAAGATGGTGACCCCTCAACTCCACTGGTCCCCAGCGTGCAGACCTCCTGGGCTGTTTCCTCCCTTGCACCATCACCGCCTGATACTAAGTATATACTTTAATTCACTGCTGTTTGCTTCCCTTACTAGATCTACACCCTACCATGGCAGGGTTTTGACTGTTTTACTCCTTGCAGTTTCCCCAGCTACTACAGCACAGCTCAGCACATGGCAGGCCCTAATAAATTCACTGTGTATGGTGATCTCTGGGCCCTGACATTGCCCAGGAACCCTCCAAGGGCCCCAGTCAGTTCTCTGTTCCTGTTCTCTACATGGGCTAATGCATGCTCCCCCTCTGCTCATGCTGCTATTCCTAGCCAGCCCTCTTCCCCTCTGCGCTGGTATCCATCACACTCCCAGAGAGAAAAGAACCCCAGAAGGTGGCCTTGACCCTCTGGCCATGACAGCCTGGCCCACCTGTGCAGCACTCTTTCCAGCTCCTTGCTTCACAAGATGGATGAAGTGCCCTTGTCCTACTGGACGCGGGGATCTCCTCCCTCTTATTCTCATCTTTACTTGTTCCTTTCTAACAGCTTTGAAACATGCTCATGACTCTGTCACCTTAAATCTCTCTACTCTGGACTTTGACCCTCTGGCTGAGAACTGGTCTTCCATATCTGGCACTTTTTATCATCTCCACTGGACACATCAGGGTCTGTGCCTACTGCTGTGCTCATGGGCATGTCGGTGAATTGGCACAGTCATCTGCCAGCTTGCCCCAGCTCTGAACTGTGTCTGTCTCATCTTCTTCTTTGCTCCTGCATCCAAATGGTTACGAAATCTTGCGGTCATGCACTGCCATTGCTTTCAAATCCATCTCCGTCTCCACCCCAGGCCACCACCACCACCACCACCACCACCACCACAACATTCATTTGATGTCCTACTAAATATGCTTAATATATTTTTTTCTTGGATAGAAAACCACCAGAGGATGCTGCTTTGCTTGCTCTCACTGGATACTCTTTAAATATTGTAGGGTGATAGGGAACTTAAATTATTTTAATGTTATTTGCTATAAAAACACTATTTGAGAGTATTCATGAATATATAATGAGAATACGCTATTTTTTTACTCATAAAGAAATATTCAATACCTTTCATACCTGGACCGAGCAATGGTGATCGATTCAGCTGAGTACTGGCCTGGTGCGGTGGTGGCGTCTCCACCCTGTGTGTGGTGTTGCTCGTGGTAGTGGTGGTGGTGGTGGTATTGGTCGTGGTACTGCTCTGGATGACCGGGTTGTTTCTATCCCACATGTTTACAGTTTTATTGTTATAGTTGCTTGGGTCCCCCCAAGCTGAGGTACCATCATCAATTTCCATTTTGCGGCGAATGGATGGTGGAGAGGGTTCTTCCCAGCCAGTTGCCTCGCTGCTGTCCTTCTGTTTGACTGGTACTGGCCCCCCGATCCACCCTGTTCCTGTCTGTTTCACAGAAGCAGCTCCTCCCCAGTTACTCACATTGTTGTCTTGGGGTTTATTAGCCCAGTTTTGTTGGGGGCCAGGTTTTAAAGTCTCCCCCCAGTTTGTACCTGGATTGACCTTTGTATTTGTGCTGCTGCCCCAGCCGCTGGTCCCAGATCTCGTGGTGTCATTCCAACCAGACCCTGATCTATTACTATCAGCATCCCATCCAGATCCATTCTTTTTCCCATCCCCCAAGTGTGCCAGGACAGACGATGAATCTGCCCAGTCTCCCCCTCCTGCACTCCAGGCTGGATTTGATCTTTGTCCATCTCCCCAGTGTTGGGATTTGGGCTTTGGAGGCTCGCCCCAGGTGGGTGACTTGTCCTCCTGATTTACAGCCCCACTCCAGGCATGGCCACTCTTAGCAGCAGCAGCAGTACTAACAGCAGTAGAGCTTATCGAGTCCCCCCAAACCCCTGGGCCACTTGGCGCTTTGTTGTTGCCGTCTCCCCAACCTGTGTTTGCTGGCACAGCGGCAGGTGGCGCATTGACCCACCCAGATACTGAAGAGGTATTTGTACTGTTCATGATGGACCCATCGTTCTTCCCCCCTGAGTTTGAAGGCTGAGTAGCTGCACAACCCCAGGCCTCTGTCCCATTGTCATTTTTCCTTTCAGGCCTAGGGGATTCTTCAAATTCCCAGGCAGTGTTTTGCTTTACAGGAGTCTGTCCCCAACCAGTATTAGACAGAACTCTTGGGTCAAGATCATTCCTTGGCAACTGGATATGCCCTTGGTCTATAATCCCTTTATCTCGCCTTCGGCCTTCTCCTGTTCCTTCCCTCCCAGTGCTTCCTTCATTGTGGTTGCCAGAACCATCACTACTTCCTTCACTTGCTGTAGTTCCGGAAGATGCAGCTTTGGCCCAGGAGTTCATGTGTTCACCGCTAGGCTGCACAGAAGGGTTCTGGCTGCTGACACTAGGACTTTCCCACCCTGTTGATCCTTTCCCATTGATGTCACTATTGGAATGCTGGTTTGGGGGCTTTCCCCATTCTCCATTCACACCATTAGAGGTGCTTCGGCTGGGGTGGCCCCAAGCTCCTGAATGGATATTACCAACGCCATTGTTGCCACTGCCCCTTCCCCAAGCAAGTATTCCAGGACCAGCAGGAGGTCCTGAATCCCAAGCATTTCCTCCATTTCCTTCCTTTTGCACAGCACTGCTGGATCCATTTTGTTTAGCACTTAATGCTGAGTTCACAGTGTCTCCATTCCCCTGACTGAACCCAGAATTGCCATTTCCTGTGGCAGGGTTACCTGGGGACAATCCCCACACAGAATTGCTTATTCCTTCAGCACTGCCCCCACTGACTTGAGAAACTGATGATCCATTAGCACCAGGAAGGCCTTGCAGGTGGGGTGGGATGATGGCCCCCATACCAACAGCCATGCCCCAGTTTGGCAGTCCATTTGTCTGCATTGCATTGATAGGGTTGGGTGAAGAGTTCATGGGGTTAGTGTTATTTGGTCCATCAGTGTTAAGGTTCTGAGGTTGTACGCTGAAAGACACATTCTGAGAAGTGGACGTTTGTGGTTCTGTGCTCTCTTGCGGCAGCAAGTTTCCCCAAGCACCTAAAGTGCCTGTTGGGTTCCCGTTCTGGTTGCCCATATTTTGACCTATGGCACTGACTGGACTGCAAATACTGGAAGGGCTGCCTGTCGCCACGGTTCCTTCATGTCCAAGTACAGGCCAGGCAGCTGGGTTGGCATTAGGATTAAGGTTCAGATTAATGCCAGCATTGGAGTTGGAAGCACCCCAGCAATTCTGACTTCTCCCGTCTCCAATCATGGTGTCCATTTTTCCATCCCCACCACTGACAGAGCAGTGAGCCAGGCCAGAGCTGGAGCCTGTGGCTACACCCCACACTCTGGCTGCACTTCCATTACTGTTCGCTCCTCCTGCTCCAAGGGCACTCTGATTAGAAGGGCTTTGGACGAGTGCGCCATTGGTGCCATTATTGCCATTTGTCTTCTTGGTATGTCCAGTGAAGTTGCCCTGGGCACTCCCTGTAGCCATGCTACTGTTCTCTGAGCCACAGTTGGAGGCAGAGTCAGTGTCTGTAGTACATTCTGAGGCAGATTCAGTCTCTGTTCCTGTGATGGAAGGCCACGCCTCCTTGTCTGTCCTATCTATTATCACTTTATCCCAGCTGCAGTGGGCTTCACTTCTGTAAGCAGGCTGCTGTCCCCAGTGGGAATTTTCATAATGATCTGCCAATCCACTATGACTGAGATCTGAAAAAGATGAAACAAAATTCAAAATTAGATTTTCTACCCATTTGTCAATGAATCAACTGTTAACTAGTCTTTGGGGAAGCTCTTTATTTCAAGTCTTCAAATCTGAATGACAAACACTAAAAAATGACTTAAAGAAAAAAGCTATTTGTCTTCTTCCATTTTAAAAAGCGTTAATGTTTCTAAAATTATATCAATTCCTACCACTACACCATACTATTATTACCCTTGGAGAATACTCACAATGCACATTAGCACATAAGGATCTCTGAAAGCATCTGTAGGAAAGGCAGCTCTGAAAGACACGTGACTTTGCAACTCCTATAAACATAAAAACTGCGAAACGCTGGCAATGACAGTAAGTTCATATGGAGTTGTGAACAAAACTTGTAGTTCTCTTTAAGACCTCTAATTACAGTATTATATAGAGGCAGAACATGGCTTTCAGCAGAAACAAATTGTAAATTGCACTGCAGAGATCATAACAGAACCAATATTTGGGGTGGGGGAAGTGGTGACGGAAGGAGAGGGAGATAAGACATATGAGACAATGCTATCTTATGCTTATCAAGAATACTAAGGATTAGAAATGTTTAATTAGGTTTATGCTACTTTATCTGATCTTATCTGCAATTTAGTTTATCAGTCTCCTGCGCATTAATTTAAAAAATCTGCAACTCAAGGACATGGCTAAAAAAAAAAGAAGAAAAAGAATCTCAGCCCTACAGGTGGTATCTTTTGGGTCTCCAAGGATTCCCTCTCTCCTTGTTTTCTATTTCTTTAGAGACTTTTCATTGGAGATCCCTAGAATAACTTTATATGCTATCTTTTTATAGTATTTGTATAACTCTTTGGGTCCTTTTAAAGAATCCACTGTTTGGGATCTGCAATATTATTTCTTATGACTTTAATAATTATTTAAGTATTTCCAACATTGCAATCAAACTTATATTCCAATCAACTTTTCAGCAGACTTTTAAAGTATCTATCAATCAAAAATAAAGTAAAAGAAATGTTAAAAAAATTTAACCTAAACAAACAACTCACATATATAATTTAGAAATCTCAGGTGAGTTTCTTTAAATACTATTTTATTGTAATATACAATTAAATTGCAATAAAACATTTTCTTATCTTTTAGCATATTTTAATTATGTTCTCTTCAAATTTATTTTAACAAGAAAAATATTATGGACAGTTAGAACATGAATTTGCCAAATAAATTCTCTTTTAAAGTTTGATAGAGCTAAAGGAAAAAAAGTATACATGTAAAAAATTATCATTATCATTAGAAAGACCATACTAAAGCTAATATCGACATTAAGAGAGATTTTTATTGCCTGACTTAAGAGCAATGTAATGATTTTAGAATGATGCTGTAGGTGATTTCAAGGTAGGTACATAATTCCAGGTGAAAACTACAAAGGAAAATGAAGACAGGCAACAGAATTTTTTTTTTTTTGAGACAGAGTCTTGCTCTGTTGCCTAGGCTGGGGTGCAGTGGCCTAATCTCCGCTCACTACAACCTCTACCTCCTGGGTTCAAGAGATTCTCCTGCCTCAGCCTCCAGAGTAGCTGGGATTACAGGTGTGTGCCACCACACCTGGTTAATTTTTTGTATTTTTAGTAGAGACGGGGTTTCACCATGTTGGGCAGGCTGGTCTGGAACTCCTGAGCTCAGGTGATCCGCCTGCCTCGGCCTCCCAGCTGGGATTACAGGCGTGAGCTATTGTGCCCGACCAACAGAAAACTTTAAATATTGAAACTGTTACAAAATGACTAGGTTCTTCTCACTGCCAAATATTAGGGGTTGGCTCTATAACCAATAGGGGTTGGACAATCTGGTTTCCAACATACTTTAAAAACTAACATAATAACTAAAGAGATAAATGAGCCATTCCTCATTTAACACAGAAAATAAGATGAAGTTAACACACTAAGATTATGGCTTGTTGCCAGCAAATATTGCCACATTTCATTTTACCATGTGTTTGGCTTCCCTCAGGGACAGGTTGTGCCATAAGGCAGACTGCCTCCTGACTAGGACAGCACTCACTGCAACCCACACCCAGAAAGCAGGAGGTTAACAACCTGGCTGACCAATGTATTCTTTTCCATATGTGAGGTGCCATTTGAATACACAGTATTGTTGGTTCCATTCCACAATAGTCACATTGTGAAAGAATCTGCCCTTTGTTAATGGTCTGCTTTGAGGACTTGAGGATTGCGCAGCCCCTAGTTTGACAGGTTCACACTCAGTTATATGACAGGTTTGAAAAAAGCAGAGCATTACAAGCTGGTGGCTAATAAATGCTGTGGGACAACAATCTAGCCACATGAAATGAAAGTAGATCCCTTATATGATATACAAAAACACATTCTAGATAAAGACCTAATTAGGAAAAGCGAAACTTCTTAAAGCTTATTAAGGAAATATAGGAGATCATCTCTATAATCTTGGACATTGTATCTTCTTATAAAAGACATGAAATACATAAGACATAAACAGGTGATAAATTCAACTATGCTAACAATAAAAACATCTATATAACAAAAGATAACACATAATGGAAACTAGAAAAACAAGCCACAGGCAGGGAGAAGATACAACAGATAATGTATGGTTATCAGATTAAAGAATTCCTGGCTGGGTGTTGTGGCTCTCGCCTGTAATCCCAGCACTTTGGGAGGCCGAGGGGTGGGTCTCTGGAGGTCAGGAGTTTGAGACCAGCCTGGCCAACATGGTGAAACCCTGTCTCGACTAAAAATACAAAAATTAGCTGGGTGTGGTGGTGCATGCCAGTAACCCCAGCTACTCAGGAGGCTGAGGCAGGAGAATCACTTGAATCCGGGAGCTAGAGATTGCAGTGAGGTGAGATCACGCCACTGCACTCCAGCTTAGGTGACAGAGCAAAACTCCACCTCAAAAAAAAAAAAAAAAAAAAGAAAAAGAAAAAGAGACTGAGCCTGACAGTTATTTATTTCATTTTTCTTTTTCTTTATATAGCACAAAAAATACAAAAATTAGCCAGGCATGGTGGCGTGTGCCTGTAATCCCAGCTACTCGGGAGGCCGAGGCAGAAGAATCACTTGAACCCGGGGGGCAGAGGTTGCAGTGAGCTGTGATCGCTCCACTGCACTCCAGCCTAGGCAACAGAACGAGACTCCATCTCAAAAGAAAAAAAAAAATCCTAAAAATCAGTAAGAAAAAGGCCAAGAACCCAACCAGAAATGGGGAAAGGATAGGAACAGGCAATTTAGAAAAGAGAAAACTCATATAGCCATTAACATATATGAAACAACAATCAACCTTATTAGCAATCAAGAAATGCACTTTAATGTCACACTCTAGATGAAAGTGACATAACACAACAATTTGTGAACTGTGGTTCCCTCTGCGGGTAGGATGGGGACACCCATAACATTTCTAAAATAGAGAGCTCTGAAGAAAATATGACATCATATTATGTTAAATCTCTACTGTGAATACAGTTATATTATTTTCTGTATTCTTTCTATTTAAAAAATATTTTTAAAATTTTCAATTTTCACGCTTAAATGTGATACAAATGAGGTGGCACAGAAGTCTTACAAAAACCCATCTGTTCCCTGAATTGTCTCCCTTTTTTTTTCATTTTGAGAAGGAGTCTTGCTCTGTCACCCAGGCTGGAGTGCAATGGCATGATCTCTGCTCACCACAACTTCTGCCTTACGGGTTCAAGTGATTCTCCTGCTTCAGCCTCTTGAGGAAGCTGGGATTATAGGCACATGCCACCATACCTGGCCAATTTTTTGTATTTTTAGTAGAGACAGGGTTTCACCATGTTGGTCAGGGTGGTCTTGAACTTCTGACCTCATGATCCACTTGCCTCAGCCTAAGTGTCTAATTTCTGAAGGTGAGTTTCTTGAGGGCATGGCAAATATCTTTTGTTTTCCATTCAAAATGCTTGCCACATATAGGCAAACAATATATGTTTCCTAGGCGAACAAAACCATAAACACATAGTGCTACAATCTGAGTTCTAGCTAAAGTCATCAATTAGCTGCACTTGCACAGACCACGTTGCTTTGAACAAGCATGTCTGTCTTCTGAGGGAACCACTTCCACCACAATGATAACGCCTCCTACTCCGACATTCCCAGATCTATACCCTTGAGGTATAGATCTCAACTATGCCACAGCAAAGTAACCACCAATGGGGCAATGCTGGCAGGAAGCAAAGTCAGTTCTACAAAGGCCAAAATTCATCTGCAATAGCTGAAGTGCCATAAAGATGGCCACACAGAATGCCATAAGGATGAAGTCATGCCTGTTGAGTTTACATACTGGGTATTTCTAGAACGTTTTCCATTAAAACACAAGAAACAAAACTTCCCTCTGAATGTCCCTATCCAAGCACCCTCACGTCTTGACTGGATTACTGTAAATAACTTTCCAACAGGTCTCTTCCCATGCCCCATATTGCCCCATCCCCAGTAACATGCTCAACGCTGTGTATAGTGCTCTTTTCCAAATGAATGCCCAGTGAATCATCAATGGCCTGTTCTCTTTTTAGGCCATTCACATCATTCTTTCCCTTGCTCTGTGCTCCAGCCAGTTCCTTGGGGTGCCATCTGTGTCCTGCCCTCCCAAAGACAGGGCTGTTAAAGGTGCCATCCCCTGCCCGGGCTCAATGTCTATTCTTTTTCCTATCTCAAATCCATGGACACTTAATTTGGGAAGTTTTCGTTCCCCAGTTAGGCCTCGCTCATATATTCGTTGTAACGGTCTTCCTTTCAAGTCACTTAGACCAACCAGGTGGCCAACAATTTCTGTCAAGGGCCTGAGAGCCAAACTACTTTAGGCTTTGTGGCCCATATAGTCTCTGTCACAGCTACTCAGTTCTGCCACTATGGAACAAAACCAGAATGAGTGTGGCTATATGCCAACAAAACTTTATTTACAAAAATAGGTGATGGGCCAGATGTGGCTCATGGGCCCAGAGCTTGCTAACCTGATT